CATCCCCTTCTACCCAAAAAGACCATGCACCCAGAAAGCGCCTGGGCTTCGTGCAGGTGCCCTCGCCACAGGCCTCCAGCACAGGCGCAGGCCCTTGTGAGCAAGGGGGTAATGGAAAATAAAATGGAAACTACCAAAATGGGTTATATAGGGTATATATTGGGGATATATTGGGATAATAATATTGGGATAATGGAAAAGAAAATGGAAACTATAGGGATTATATAGGGTTTTATGGGGATTATAGGGTATAGTATATTGGGATAGTATAGGGATAATGGGAAAAATGGAAACTACTATAGTATATTGGGGTTAATATTGGGATAATGGAAAATAAAATGGAAACTACTATAGTATATGGGGCTATGATTGAAGCTGCAGTTCATGAGTTTTCACGACAGCGCGAAGAGGTATGGAACGTAGGAGCAAGCCTGGACCTGCTTCTCAAAACAGACTCTTTCGAGTTTTGAGAAAAACAGCTTGCAATCAAGCATGTTTGCTTCTTCGGCCTCGCGGTTGAAATTCGGCTAGCCAGGTGGCGAGAACATCATGGTCCGAGAGGCTGGCAAAGAGTAAGTCCTCCTGCAGTTCCTGCATGGGTTCAAGAGGCAGAGGGGTTCTCAGGCGAGGCATGTGAAAGAAGGGCGCTCTGCGCATCCAAAGCTTAGCAAACGTGATGTCAGGAAGCTCTAATTGACTCTAGACTCCAGACACTGGCAACGAGATGGGCAGATTAGCATCTGCAATCAGGAAAGCTGCTCCAACCTCTTCAACGACTTCGTGGAAAGCGATGAGACCATTCCAGACAAATCTGATTTCGAGGATAAGTGAGCCCCGTCCTTTCAAATCTGCGTCTGTCCAGTTCTGGTCAGCTATCTCAAGACCACTCTGAGTGTGGCATGCAGCACTAGTCAGAGGATAGATGGAATCTTTGATCCTTAGCTTGTCTTCCACTTTTGAGATCCGCAAGTCATGTTCTGGGATCCTTCAGGCACATGCAAGTTCAATCAGTCATGACCCAGCAACAGCCCTTCAGCATCCCGCTCCTAAATCTCTCTCTTGTTCTGTTTGTGACAGGTATGCCCTGGTTGGCAACGGACCACTGGGCGAGGGTACCTTCGGCTTGGTCTGGAGGCTCCACCCCTTACTGTCTGGATGAGAGGTGAGAGGCAGTTGAGGTCTTGAGAAGACGCCTGTCAAGGGCTGCTACGGTGGATACCAAAAATTCTGCGAGGCCCTGAATACCTTATACCGTGGAACTAGTAGCAGCAGCGGCGCCACAGCAGCAAACCGTTTGGATGCTGTACACCACAACCATCATGGATTCCGCAGCGTGCAGCAACATATTTGCGATCTCAGGGGCTCCTTGTTGTTCTGACACGAGGTGCACGTTGAAGAGTGGATCTGGACCCCACAAGGACTGGCATGATGCCTGGTGTTGTTCGAAACGGCTTCCCTGACATACATTGCCGCCAGTCATAGCTATTTGAGCAGGAGATGGCGGCTAAGATTGTGCGAAAGGCGCGGCGCACGAAAGCATGAAGCTTGCAAGTTGTCGATTCTATCGCAACTAGACGGTGGGTGGGCGTGCTTGATGCTCATGAATTGGCATTGATCTAAGTCTTAACAGAAACAAATGGTTCACAGGAAGTGAGGATCGGCGAGGGCAGGCATTGATATGTCTGTGCACTAAAGTGCTGATGGGATGCCCAGCCTTCTCGTGGCTCATATTCCTCATCCTTGTGGTCGTCATCGCCATCATAATCTTCATCATCAATAACAAATCATCGGAAGCCGCATCAGCAGCATCAGCGGCAGTATGTTCTCCGGCACAACCTGCTATTAGGAATCCAGAGCTCTCCGCCGCATGTCTTTGGCAAGAGGAAAAGTAATGCTGAGAATTTAATCTGGCTTTGCGGTTTCCATCGTTCCCTCTCCAGATGCAAGGGGTCAGTCTAGAGCTAGCTTCTTTGCTCTCACCACTTGCAGGCACGATTGCAGCCCAGAGACATGAAATATTTGCTGGGGGATGATGGTGAGGCAAGGTGCTTTATGTCTGAATGATAGTCTTCTGTGTTTGCCGCTGCAGAGTTCTGCTGCAGTGAGTGAAGGAGGAGGCTCTGCCATCCCTAAGTCAGAAGTCAAGTCCGCATTGCTTGCCTTGGCTCAGACTGTTTCTCAATGGCAGACTGTGCGATTCAACCAACAGCAACGAATGAGGCTTCAGTGGCTAGCTCCCGAAACATTCATGCGCGAGTGGCGTTAGGAAAAGAGGAGGCAGCCAAAATCCTCAAAGTAGAGCATTGCCCGAGAAGCCTGCAATGCTTCCATAGCTGGCAGAGCGCCAGCGATGCTGCGGCCCCAGGCCAGAATCCAAGAGTCAGCAGAAGAACGACACTTCATTCAATCTTCAATCCATGAGGATGTAAGGCTTTCACAGGTCTGTGTTGTGTCTCTCTGTATGGATTGCTTCGAGTGGACTGACAAGAGAAGTGGATGCAAAGGAGATCAGTGGGTGCAGTCATTGGTATGAACCAGTTGTAACGCAAGAGTGTTGGAATTCTCAGAGCGGCGATGTTACGAAAGCTTCCCAAGCTTTCGTCTGAGTCCAGCTTTGCTGATCTGTACCACGGGGTGTGGGGGGGAAGGGCCCAAAAATGGTCAAATTTGGCTGCGTTTCGTGGGCCAGACCCCATGGCAGGAGGGTTTTCGGGAGGCCACCCCACAGGCCTCGAAAATTGGCATGATGAGAGGTCTATTTTGATGCGGTTTCGGGGTGCCGTTTCGGGTGCCGTGCAGGCCGTTTGGGACGGCACATGGCAATTTTTTCAGGCACGTTGGAAGCCGTTCTTGGGCACGCGGAGGCCGTTCGCGCTCCGCCTCTTCGTGAAAAAATGCACGCGCCAGCATGCACCCCTGCTTCTAAGCTTTCGTCCCCCGCCGCGGGCGCAAGTTTAGTTAGCCAGGCCTGACAAGTTTCTCAGTCATTCTTCTTTTCATTTCTTTTCTAATTATTTCCGTGCCAGCTGCTTACCGCGGGGAGGAGAGCCTGGAATTTCCCAGCATGCCAGGCACAATGGCGGAGGAGATTGTTTTCGCTCCTCCACGGTGCCGCCTCCAGCACTGCTAGGCGGAACCACCCGTGCTGCGGCCAGGTCGTTGATCTTGGGGCCGGAGGACGGCCCTGACGACCTGGAACCTAGCTTCAGGAGAGGGCTGCACTCAACTGCATGTCGCCCGTGACGCTCCTGAAGTGCATAGCACCTGAGACATGAGCTTTGTCCCCTCTGAAGGCTTCGGTTGCTTGGCTAGCTGCCAATTGTCGTAGGTCTGGTGCCTTGCACTGTTTACGCAGCATTTTGGCTCGTTCACATCCCAGCTATACTCCACGCCCAGACCTTCCTGCCGCAAAAGATGGGCAACTCCGTGAACTCTTGCTGGAAGTCCGAGGCAGAACAGCGCCAGGAGGTTTTTGTGAACCAGGCCGCGGATGTGGCAACTCAGCTTGGCGCCAGCACTGAGACGAAGGACGCAGTGACGGCAGGAGCCAAGTCTTTGGCAGAGGGAATCACTGCTGGAGCTGAGGCCGTGACAGCAGGAGTCTCGAGCGGAGCTGAAACCACGCAGAAGTTTGTGGGTGATGTCAGCAAGGAGGCCCAGCAGCTCAAGGGGCGAGTTGGCGGAAGCTAAGTCATAGCTTAGCCCCGATGATGACGGTGGCATGTTCCATCTGCCCCTGAGCCGACAATTTAAGGCCGACTTCCAGTCCAGGTCATTCTTAGCACAGGTTTCGGGGCAGAGCTGGTTTGTGTTCAAAGCGTCACGGTCTTTGCAACAGACAAAGACCTTGGATGCTCTTTGAGTTGGTTCCTGACATGCGTGCCTCGTCACGCCCATTGGGAAGCCATACAATAAAAGATCAACTGCATGGCAAGCTCTGCTTTATGAGAGGTCGGGCTGGTGCAGCCCGGCTGTGCACCAATTCCGGTTAACCTTCAGATGCTCTTTTCTGCTTTGGCTGAGACCCTGCAGGAGTCTTCCGGTGACCGCCTTGCCTGCCTTGCAGCAGACAGCGGAAAGCCGTGGATATGCTGGGAAGGGGCAGGACAGGCTCACAGAAAGTGCTTGTATTGCATCACTGTTTCTGCGACTCCTCGGCAGAGCTATGCCAGAACCCGGGCTCTGCCACTTCAGCACAAGAAGCAGGAGCCCGTTCCAGTCAGACTGCCTGATAGTGGCGTCATACAAGTCCCAACCCCTCGCAGGCATGCTCGCGTGAAATTGCGACAGGCAAGTAGCATAGAGGAGCTCCGTGACACCAAGGTCACAAGCAACATCGCAACCAGCTTGTTGGTAGAAGAGAGTTGACGCATTTGAGCCAATGATTTTGTCATGGCATGCAAGGCTGTCCCAAGACACATTCTCCACGGGTCATGCATCACTCAGAATGGCTTCGCTGCAATACATGCATGCGTTGAAGGAGAACTGGTGCAGCGAGAAGCTGGCCCGAAAAGCGAGGCCATGGGATTTGGATAGCTGGAACCGATGCTTTTTCTGCTTTTGCTACGAACTTGCTACGCAGTGCCAGCGCACTGCCAGGTTGTGGCAGTCGTGGAAAAGCGGGAGCAAGAGATCGCAAGGCATGATCAGTATAGTTTCCGGCCTCGACATTAAAAGCCAGGCATCATTTGGCATACACAGCTCCATGGCAGGCGCTTAGCTGCTCTAAAGGCTGCCAGTCAAGATGACGGCAGCCCTGCAGGATCCTGCTCAAACTGATACTGCAAGAAGTATTTTTGCTCTGCTCATGCGTGATCATCCTTCTTCGCAGGAGCAAGGAAAGAATCAACTACAAAGCCTGCGCCGAACACTGGGGAGGCTGTCTGGAGATCGCCCGGAAAAGGCAGCCTGTGGCAGCTTTTGCCAGGCCTCAGCCAGCTCAGACTTCCCGGCTTTTGCCGCGCCAAGGCGAGCTCAGAAGGTTCAGAAAATTTCAGAGATGTCCATTAGCACCGCATGCATCACATGCGACAAGGCAACGACAGGAAAAGATTGATTGGGAGGCGTCTGTAATCATCTCTGCTACTGGTGATGAAGCACGAGTTTGGCAAAGCTGACAGGTGCCACAGAGTATCCTGGATCGACTTGCGCTGGCACTGACCCTAATTTTCAGATGCACACAGTTCTGGCACAGCTTAGTCTGCTTCGCACATGGCCAGGCTTATGATGAGGACGCTGCTTTCTGACATGCCTGCCCCGCACTGGTAATTCTCATGACCTGAATAGAGGACCCTCAATCCGTGCGTCGTACACCGCAACACTCCAGGCCGGAATGTTTTGAGCAGGGGCCTCTTACCAAGTGGTATTACCAAGTGCATACGCAGCACGCAGGTTTGCGTGGACGGGTGTGATGGATGCAGCCCGAGCGGCCTGGTGCGGTTCTTTGAACCGCAGCTATCCATGGAAGCACTGGAGCCTGCCAGGATCGGTGGAACGCAGCTTCTCCAATACGGTTGGGCGCCATTACTTCACTGATGGTGACCCCTGCAGCGATTGAGCATGATTGGGCGCTGCTAGGGGAGCTGCTCCCATCGGGCACCGAGAAAGCCTTGGCCATCATGGCGCCAGGACTGCTGCACGCTACTGCACGCTGCTGCACGCTGCTTCAGATCCTTGTTAAATGTGCGAATGTCCCTTGATGTCCCTTGTCTTCTGGCAGGTTTGCACTTCCTGCCGCAAGGAATGCCTGGTCGCGGCCATGAGGCGCAGCAAAATCAAGAGCGACAGCAAAGCAAATCCTCCTGCAACCGGAGAAATCTGAGAAGCCAAGGTAGCTCTGGAGCTGGGAATGGGCCGTGGACGTGTGGCCCTCCACCTCTTTCTGTCAGGGGCTACGGTTCTAGGCCGGGCACACGGTCATGCCGTCCACAGTGTGATCTCCTTGATGTGTGCTTCAGGCGTGGAGCTGGCAGGGCAGCGCTTCACTTTAGCAGCTGAAGCTGGCGATCGCCTGAGCCACCGGCACCTGGGCATGCAGAGGTGCCCAAAAGTCCTCAACCAACTTGTCCTGTAGGATGCAGTCCCTGGACACTTTCAAGAGCATGTTGTTCTTCAATTAGTTAAGCGCTTTTGGCAAGCTGCTGCTGACAGCTCTGGTCCTTTCCGGTTTCCCTCAAACCCAGACCCAAACTGGCGCAGACAATTAAGCTGTGGTCGCAGTCATCATGGGAGCGGACCACAACTCAAGCAGTGGTCATTCATTGGCGTTTTTTTGCAAGGAGGCGTGTTGCCCAAGGAGAATTATGTGAAGACAAAATGCAGGCAGAGGCCTTGCTTCCACTCAGGTGTCCCGATCTTTTCGGCATGAGCTTCCAGGACGCCAAGGCTGCATCGGATCGAGACTAGCAATGTGGGAAATTCTCCGAAGAAGTGCAGACCATGCGCGTTCCTTCAGACGAAATGCATTTCAAACGCCATCCGCCCCAGTAAGTATCAGCAGACACTGTGTGCGTCCTTGCAGTTCCGCCTGGTTCGAGTTGGTGGGCCGCAACACGCTTTCCTTGAGGCCAAGCGAGCTGTCTAGATGCGCCATGTGAAGCAGCTTCCTTGGAAAGTCAGGCGCGCCAGGGTGACTTTCTGCGGACAGTGACGACTGAGGAGGCCTCGCCTTGTCTCCTCTTGTCAAAGCAGGTAGCCAACTTTGCAACTTGACCCGCATCATCTGAATCATCCAGAGCAGACTTCAATACTTCTTTACTGCAACAGATGCGAAAGATCCACAACCTGCTAACGGTAGCTTCAAAATGATCTCATGCCCGCCCGATCCCACGTGTGACGTTTTCTTGAGAGCTGGGTTGAAGCGTCCCTAGAACAGTCTTGGACACTCTGGAGTTTCAACACTGTGAACAAATGCTGCCTAAAGGAATAGTCTAGTGATGCTTCCCTTTGGCAATCGCTTCAATACTATAATTTCACTTCACCCAGCAGGTTTGGCCAAAAGGGCTGGTTGCAAGGCCACTCTTGCCACTCCCCACCAAGCAAACGATTTTGGAGTTGGGCACGGGGCTAGGCGATGCATTGTTGTTCGAGGAAGGAAGATGTGCTTGTCAGGGCCCATCGGCAGTAAGCAGCCAAGTACCGGCCTGCTCGGATTGCCTCAGTTGGCCATTTTGGTGGGCTGTCGTTGATGCCAGATCGTTGGCTTCGCCGTGACGTGCTGTGACTGACGTGGGATGACATGACGTCAGGGTTCATGCTGCATTGCACTCGAATCGAAGCTGCGCACAGGTCGCTGCAGCAACGCTGATCTTCTTACATGCCGGTGCCTTATAACATAATCCCACATGGGAGTTTCTCAGGCTAGCCCCCCTTGCCTGGTACCCCCCCAACAGACATGTAATCCTTTTATGTATATCCCTAGGGCAGCTGAAGGCTCCCCCTTTCGGATCATTAAACCCAAAACCGGGGCGCTTTGGATTCAAGGGTACATGGGGATCACACAGGGCATATGTAGCTCCCTGCCAGGGATGGTATAGGGGATGTTTTTTAAAAAGCTGGCCTGGATGTCTGTCGGTGCTAGTCGCTAAGGTCTGTTTGCCAGCAGCGGCTTGGCCCGGCTTAAGGCCGAAAGGATAGATGTTGCAATCAAAGTTTTTCGATGTTCAGCATGCATCCTGAGAGCAGAGCAAGCTCTAGAATTTGTCAATTCCATAGTTGTGCCCAATTGTCCGGTAATTTCATTTCCGCAAAAGGGTCAGAATGGCTTCAAGACTTCCTACGGTGGATGTAGCAAATCTTGCACCACTTAAGACCCCATACGAGTGTAATTTCTACGGGATAGGTCACATAATGCATTATCCTTGCATATGCAGCATTTCCTCCATCCAGATATTAACTCGTAATGGGTTATCCGGCGACAAAGTCCTGTAGCAACCTTGGTCCAAGCATGCGCTTCAGAGACTTTGAGCTAGATCCTGGCACAGGCAGTTTCTTCGGCAATGTCAGCCAGGCTGCAGAGTGCTGAGCTACGAGGACTGTGGTCTTATGATGTTGTTTGGCTGGGTGATACCACTCACAGACACCTTTGAACAAAGACGTTTGCGGGGTCTTGCTCTCTCCTCTACGAAGCGAGAAAGTGGCAGCCAGTCCAAGTTTGATGTTAGCTTGCAATAGTCTGCACAGGACCTGCAGAAGATCTGGCAAGGCCATCCCAAGTTACTTGCGAAACATGCATCCACGAAAGAATTGCAAAATGGCAGATGGAGGTCAGGGCGACTTCCCATTCCAGCACATTGCCACGCCGGCCCTGGCCAGCCCTCAGGGAGATCAACCCTCTCTGGCGACCCCTTTTGTTCTCGCGCAGGCTTGCAGTTGGGCAGCCGAAGCGGGACACAGGCCGCGTCTTCTTGAAGTGAGAGAATCTGTACACTTTACACCGCTATATGAAGAAAAAGTCGTAAGATCTCAGACTGCTTTGACGTCAAGTGGAAGCACCCAACAGGTTCTACTGCTACCAGCGTCGAGACCTTGATGGCGAAACGACCCCGTTGGCGAGGTTGCGCTCGGGTTCAGGAATGGAAGGCTTAAGCAAGGGCGCATTCTTCCTGCAAGTGCAAGGTGGAGCTTGTGACAAATTTGGCTGCAACTGCAGCACTTGCGCAGGTCTGGAGTGGGCTGAAGCAGGATCTTTGAGACGAAAAAGATGCAAGGGGCATGAAGCATTGAGTCTTTGATGAGCTTTCCTCCCAATGCTCAGGAGTGCCGCGTTTGAGTCAACATGTAATGCCGTCAGCAGCAGCATTGTATCAGCTTCCAGCTCACAATTCTTGTGCCCAGCTTGCAGGTGAAGTTGCACCTGACTATGAAACACGCGCATATCTGCGAGGCCAAGTAGCAGAGGTTTTGCATGATTCTCAGAATTACAATTTTTTGCGGCACATGATTCTACCTCAGGCTCTTTGCTTGCTTTGCGATCCCTTCACAGATGCTTAACTTAAGATAGACCTGGAATGGCCTGGCATCGCCCGGCATGGCCAGAATAGATTAGAGAAAGCGCGACACATCTCGAAACATATATCACGCGCTCTGTTCAGCTCCTGGAATACTTCGACGAGCCCAGCACAGTGACTCTTATACTTGAGTGCGCCTGGCGATGTTAAGGGTAAAGGCAGAACATTGGAGAACTCCAAGGGCTGGATGCCGTTCATAATTAAAGGACAGAAGCGTAGGCCATCAAGATTCTGGTTCTGACGCGACATGACCCGTGAGCCTGCAAAATCTTGCTTAGGATGCCTTTTATTGTGTGCTGGACCTTTGCCACCCCACGAGGTATTGTCGTGGCGGAGATCTTTTCGATGCCATTGTGGCCCAGTCAAAGGCTTGTGCAAGTAAGCGCGTGGTCAAGTATGCCCATGTGTCAAGTTTTGGAAGGGGTCACACGCTACGGATGCGAATTGCAGCGGACTCATGAACCCATGCTTCGGCCAGACAACTGGGCGCGGATTCACCGAGAAGCAGGCCGTGCACGCGACGCGCCATGTGTTGGTGCGCCCAGCAGGGAAGCTCACAGGGGGTTTGCTGTCTGAATGTCTCCATTTACCTGTAGGAATGTAGCTTGGTTGACCGTTGATGTCATCCAGTGTAGCCTGCCTGTGGCATTGTCAGCGTGATCGAATATGCCCCTTCGCAGTCTGCTCTTCAATACCTGCACAAGCAGAGGGTGGTGCACAGAGATATCAAGGCACGATACCTTTGCACAGCTGCCAGCGCACCGAGCTAAATATGGAAAGTCAGTCGTGCAGTGGCGACAGTGGTCTCAGCAATGAATGCGTGGCGTTTCTGCCACACTGCTGGCTCAAGGAGCCAACTTGCACATGGGTACTGATTTCCATTGTGGTGCCAAGCTATGTGTGTGCTTGATTTGACTTGAGGGTTCCTCATGGCAGGTCCATGCTAGCTTTTGAAGGTTTATGTGGTGTGAGCGTATCAAACGAGCATTTACTCTGCCTGCAAACCACACCACAAATGACAAAGAATCACCAAGCATGGCAGTGAGCCTTGAAGATGTACCATCACGTCCGACAGTCTGCTACAAGCTTCTCTTCTTTCGCTGGCATGGCAGCCACCGATGCTTCAGACAAGCCACAGGCTCAGGTTGCGGTGTCAAAGGTTCTGAAAATGGGTAGCAAGGACTCCAAGCTCAGGCGGCGCCGTGCGGCCGCTGCGGCAGAAGCGCGGCTCACAGGAGGCCAGAGTTGAGCTACTGCTAAGCTGCTAACTACTTCATAATCAACTGAGGGATTTGGGATGTATTAGCGGCCAGAGCTTGAGCCATGAGCCATGCTTGCATCGGCAGACGGGTGCAAGCATTGAAGCTCTGGGTGCATTTGCAGGGTTTGTTGCTTTCATTGGTACTTTGACCAACTTCATGCCCTATTACAAATTTGTAGGCCGGCAAGTGCTGTATGTCGATTTGGCTACCTCATGCTCTGGGTTTTACAGGATCAGGAGCTGCGGCTGCGCCTATCCTTCCAGAAACCACAGAGTCTTCGCCTTTGTGGCGGTCTCAGCGTCTCAGCTTGGCATCACGGATTTCTGGACCATTTGGGAGCCGAATCTGGCCAGGCCGGAGACAGATCCAAGAGCTTCCGACCTTATGCCGCTGTTCGACCGGGATGCTGCCTCAAACTGCTCAGTGGAGTGGGAAGCAAGTGGCATGTTGTGCGTTCCTCCCTATCGTCTCCTACTTTGATTGAAGCAGCTGCAGCTTTGCGCTCCTAGCGAAGAGCAAGTCAGACCAAGGCCCATGCAGCAGCAGTAGCTCGCCATAAAAACACTGGGGAGGATGCACACCACGCCAAAGACCCAGATATTCTAAACATCCCGACCTGGAATGGGCGACTCGAACAGCTGAGGCACCCGCCCTCCGCAAAGCCAAGCGGGCAGTGCAGGAGAGTTTGGAGCGAGGAGGCAGGGAGTAAACAGAATCAGCTTCCACATCTGACATGTCTCCTGGCGGGTGAATTGCAGAGTTTTCCTTGTCAGAGAGTCCCCATCCTCATGATTGTGTGATGCCCGCGCTGCAGATAACCTCACTCTCTCCTCACTTCACATGTTGAAGGGTGTTGGGCCGTGCCCTTACCTGCGATCGCATGCATGATCTGAAAGGATAGCTGAAAAGTCTTTCGCAACACTTGAGAAATTAAACCCCAAGCCAGCGAGGCATTGGGTGGTTGGTCAGCTGCGCGAGCATTTGACAATCCGACCCTCAACTGCAGGCGGGGGCCTTTCAGGTTCTTAATGCCTTGCGACGCGAATTCAGCTACTTATTGTGAAGATTTTTGAAGCCTGCTGTTCTATGCTGTCTTGTCTTGTTAGCCTCAGACTCACAACGCCACAAAATGCATATTGGAGAGCTTCAGCAAGGAGAGAACATCCAGTTAAGTTCTTGGGCGGAAGCTGTCCTGCATGGCATCTGCTGACCTGATGTAGCCCTTTCACTTGACGTGGCCAGATGCGGTGAATACCAGGAAGCGGAAAGCAGAGGTGGGCCAAACACCTGCTGACGTGCTGGAACAATGGCTACAGAGATTTGCAGGCCGCTCCAACTCCCAATTCCTTTACATGGTGGTACATCAGTCAAGGCCTAAGCATTGCCGTCAACTGTTTGAGTTGGAGCGTGCCCTGGCTTCGAGGAAGCATGGGTTTGATGTGTCTGTTGCAGCCTTCTGCGTGTGGCCTGTTGTAATTAGGTCGCACTGGTGAGCGTGTAGAAACAAGGAATGCCGAAGCCTCAGTCAACAAAAGTCGTGCAGCTAACCCTCCATGCTTCATTTCTTTGTGGGGGTGTATGCCAGGGTAGCACGTAACGCGCTTCTTGTTTTCAATCCAACTTGCAAACCATGGTTTGTCCGAGCCCTAGGTTCACGATGAGCTCCCTGAATAGCATTTGCTGAAGTTCTTAAGTAAAGAAAGGCCCTACTGGCATGAATGAGATTGCAAAAACGTGAGCAGTGGGATGCCTCCCTGAGAACAGGGCACTGGGAACTGGGGCGGCTCTAATGCTTATCGAACTCTTCGGACTGAGTGTGGTGACGCGGTTGCCCAAATTGCGGCCATGGCAAGGCGGAAGACGCCACAGAGGCTGAAACCCTCCAATTACTCTCCCCTGGACAGTCCCCTGATTTTTTGCCCATTCGTGCTTCAAATGAGCCCAGCAACATTGCATGTAGCCAACGCCTTGCGCTTCTTGGAAATGGAGATGTCGCTTGTGCAGATATGTCTGGACCTGGGCCGTGGTGACAACCGTGTTTATCAACGTGTGGTTCTATGCTGCAGAGAGTAATGCTTACCAATCCCATGTTTCTTGTATAGGGTCAGGTAACGGCTCACTGATCCGCTGCTGTGTGGTGGGAAGTTCAGTGAGACGGCTCTTGACTGCAAGGATGCTGAGATGATGGGACCTGCCGGAGCAAAAGCCTTCCGCGTGCCAATCCGAGAAAGGCTTTGATGCCACTCGCACGGATGCACAGTAGCCGCAGTAGCCGTCCAGGTGTCCATCCTTCATAGCAGCGGTCGCATGGAGAAGGCTTTGGTGCACAATCAGATCTGTTGTGGCAGTGAGCTACATGTATATCAGCCAATTGCTTTGCGCACACATAAGTGGTACCACGTGACAATAAATCATTGTCACGCCTAGCAGCAAAGCGGTCCTAAAGCATGCTGCTGGGGCCGCACATTTGCCAAAGGAATGCCAAATGGCAGAGCGTGTCGAGATAACTTCAAAAAGAGGCAGTCACCTGAATCTTGCGCCGCAGGCCTGGTTGCCTGATGCCAAGGCACCGGCGACATGCCACCTACTCAGCACATGTCGCTGAAATAGGTTTTTAGTACATGTCTTTGTGTTCGCGTACTGAATCCATCTCACTACAGTAGCACATGTCAACCCTTCCGCTGAATTGCCAAGGTCCAGAGGCCTGACGCGATCCAGTAATGCCCGGGTCAAAGACCTCGGCATCATTCGGGGATTCGGGGTGATTGTTTAGACAAAAACATGACATGCTGCTGCGGAAATGTGCGAGATATGCCATGCCCTTTGCTCGCCAGAAGGCCACCCGCCCGTTGCCAGTTCTGAATTTAAAGTATACGTGTTCATGATACAGGAAGATGATATGATGCTTGAAACATCTCACTACTTGTGCAACTGTTGCACGGGCTGTTGCGATTGTTGAAATTTAAACCTGGCACATGCATTTCACATGAGTGCGGAAAGTATCATAAAGATAGCGAGAGTTGCACTGGGGGACAATGGCCACGAGTCAAGGTACCGCTGGGGTGCAATCTCATGTGCTGTAGCTCTCAGTCACATAATATCTACCGAAATGCCAAAATGACAATTGCAAGCATGATGAAACCTAGTAGCTACAAAAACGTTCAATGTATAATCGCTGCAAAAGTATGACCGCACTTCCCTACTGTGGCCTGTGCAACTGATGCACCTCCAGTGCATCCAGCACATGAGCCACTGTCGATAGTGATGGGCCACGGCCTGCCCGTCATGGCCAATACCTCGGACAAAGAAAGCAAGTTTGTGGCATATGGAGACTTTGCTTACATGCTTCAAGTAGTGATATCGGGCGGCGAGGGTGATTCCCGCACGGTGCCCATGCAAAATGCTGATCTTACAAGATCTTACAAATATGTGCATTGTGATGCCCCATTCATCAAACTGCAGTGGCGGAGGCAGGCGGCGTGTCTGCGGCTTCGTCGTGGCAAGCGTGAAATGTGTTACACATTGAGGCTGAAACCTTTACAGAGGAAGACCTCGAGAAGACAGATGCTTCGCTGCCGCGCGTCGAGAAGCGTATCCGCATGAGCAGCGCTGAGTTTCAGAGTATGCTCTGGTAAGCTGTGATGACTGAGCCTAGCCTAGCGTCTTCGTTTTCAGGGTGTTGCACGAATATGGGACGTTGCTCCCAGCAGATTCATTTGTCGAATCTTGAGCCAAGGTCCGTTTGCATGGAGATTGTGAGGGGCTACGCCAAAGACCAGGACGAGCAGGCGGTATTGATGCACATTCCTTCCCCCCTTAGCTCAAGGTGTCTTAGGCACCCAATGTGCTTACAGGATATTCCTTCCACCAGCGGTCCTGATCACCAGCTGACAGGTGCCTAAGTTTAGACATATGCATGGGCCAATGCCAGGGCTCCAACATCAAAGAGTTACCACATGTAGCATGGGCATCCCGGTTGTTCATTCATTTTGAACCCTTCTGACAGGCATAGTGTAGTATCCTGCAAAGTGCTGTGTTGGAGTTTAGTGGCGAGTATTCAGATCGGGCTTGCTACGCGCTCTGTCAACTATGCCAGTGCAGTCTTGGAAGGTTCGCGCCATCATCGATGAGCTTTCCGAGCTTGATGAGGTCAGCCCTTGCAAATTTGCGTGAGGCTGCGGGTTGAGCTTCACTGGCTTGATCAGTTGTCCGTCAGTTCAGCGCCAAGAACTACATCTTTCACAGCTGGCTCGCGAACTGCTACCACTCCATCAGGCGATGCAAGCTCTCGGGTCAGCTCTGCCACTTTGCAAGTGTTTTGCACCTTCGTCAACATGCCTAGCACACATGCATGCGGGTCATTGTCTTGTGGGCAGGCAGCACGAAGTGCGTGCGTATGGAATGCAGGACAGGGTGCACAGTTGGAAGAGCAAGGTCATCAGAGATTGGTATAAGCTTGACAACATGAATCTTATCAAGTCAATCTCATGACCTGGTAGACGTGCTAGATTTGCGTGCAGTAGTTGCCTGGGTGTTACTTGGTGCTTCAATTATCCAACGGCTCTGCGCTGGAACTACCCTACTCTTGCCGGCGCCAGTCCAGAGAAGCGCGCACATACCAATGAGGGTTGATGACGGGCAACATGGATTCCTTCAGCGCAATCACAGTGTCTAAGGCGCATCCGCACCCGTGCACAGATTTGTTGAGAAGTGCGCTTGAGCCCACATCAGCAGCTTGGGTTTCAGAAGACCAGGACGGTGCAGATCGGCACTAACTAGGCACCCGCCCTCAGGAGCTCACGAAGCAGCGGCGAATCTCACTGCTCCGTGTGTCTGGGCCCTAGCAGGCTCCGTCACAGGATCGGTTTCTGCTGCAGGCAGTATAAGTTTGTAGAAGCCATGAAGCCTTCGAAAGCATCTATGCTTACCTTCAGAAATGTGTTGCGCAGAGCAAGGATTGAGCCAGCACACAAAGTCGGTCGGCTCTCCTGCGGGCTTGTTGGGTCTTATAGGACATGAGACAGGGTTGCTGTTGTGACTTCAAGAAGTCTGAAAACTGAGTAGCTGGGAACCGCAAAGGCATTGTACCGTTATCAGGCCTGGGCCACTGCGGCTGAGCAGCGGACAGCTTGAGGACCATGGGGATAGCTCAGGGGCCCTTGATCTGGCAGTTGCCACACACCAGGAATCTCTTGACATGTTCCCGTGGGCTCTTTGACCAAGCTGGCCTGAACTTCTGGGCTCCTGCCAGGTTCTGAATGAGCTCTTGTTGGAGGAGGGGGCGCTGGTACCAGAGGCTCGTCATATGGGAGATTGGATGTGGTCTGGTCAGGAGTCTGTCCCAGTGATGCAGGCCTGTTAGATACACAAAAGTTGGTGCCACGCGCAGGTAGAAGTTCTTGGGATGAAGCTGCTTCTTGCCTGCACACTTGCTGTCAGCGAAGCTGTAGTGTGTGTGTGTGTGTGACAAGGTCCATGTAACCGAGCAAGCGAACTTTGCAGAATCAAGCCTCGCCCACATTTGCAGGTCAACTTTCAGCCGTGCAAGTGCCGTGGCAGCTATGCTGGCTGTTGCAGGCGAGGGTCGTTTTTACAGGTCTCTCCGCAAGTGCAACGAAGCTCGCAGCCCGAAAGCAGGTCCTAAAAAGAAGTATAGCCTTGGCATCTTGCAGGCGTGGCAATCTTGGCCTGGCGGTGGCTGCGCTATAGTGCTTCGGAAGACATGTTAATGCTACAAAGAATGACCTTTTGTCATGCGAATGTGTATTCAGATATGAACAGGCGTGACTCAACATACGCCCATGAATTGAAGAAAGACTAGAGTGACTAAAGTATATTCCGCATAAAATTCGCTAGGATATTCCGGACAGCATGAGGGCTGCCACACATGTCCATCTAAGGCAGCGCTGGCCGTGCAAAGCACTTGCCTCAGTTCTGGTTGTACCAACACAACGCTGGAGCCTGAGTTACAGATGGGCCTGGCTGCATCTCCGCAGTGCTGAGGTCACATAGTGCCAGCAGAAAGCTTAGAGCTGCGGAGGCCAAAGCTTGGCAGAACGCAGTGAATTGCAACAATGACAGGATGATCCTTTGAGCTGACCAGCTGTTCTGGTGCACAGAACCTTTCGCAATTTGCTGGATGTCCGCAGGGCGCCAAAGAGGAGCGCTTGCGCCGACGCCCAGCGGCTGGCACAAACAGAGTTGAAAAACAGAGCCATTTAGAGGCATGAAGCGTCGGAGCATGTACAGCTAACGCGCGCAGCAAGAGAATGTTGGGTGGGCGCAGGCTGTTGTAAAAGTTGTGCTTGCGCCAGTGCGAGAACATCCTGCTGAAGCACATGGAGCTGCCTGTGGAAGAGAATGTCTGAGCCTCTTATTAAAGCAGCAATTTGTAGGGAACCCTCTGGCTGTGACTGCAGAATCAGGGCATTGAGGATGAACGCCTCTGATAGAGACTGCTGGCTAAGATCTTCAAGCTCTGTGACTTCGGGTTTGCGGCCCACGACAAAGGCTGGCAGCAAACCTGTGGACTTCATAGACTGTAGAAAGACGGCTCCCCAACTTTTTCCGAAATTGCTGGACCATCTGGTGTGACGGTGAGAAGTGCACTGATTTGAACGCGAGCAAGTCTGTTGTGAGACGTTTGAGCCACAGGATCTTTTGTGATGTGCCGTCCAAGTTTTTTTCGCAGTGCAAGGTGACGGGCTCAGCGATCGTCTAGGATCACCCGACACCGTCGCGCCGGAGATTGTAGCCGCTTGATTGAAGTCATATGAAGTCATGCTGGATTTGAGGAGGTTGTCACCTTCCCGTGTTCAGGCTTCAAGCCTCGCCAGGGGGAAGAAGCGGGCATTTCTGGTATGCAAGAGAAGTGAGAGGAATATTAAGCGCGGCACTGCTGCACACCAGCGCCCTCGACCCCGCCACCGAGCGGCGCAGTTAAATTCAGAATTGGGCTATGAAAAAGGAGGACAGGAACAACACCTGCGAACAGCAAAAGGTTGATGAGCCTCCAAGCGAGAACTCTGGCTGCCGGAGCTGAGCCTGGAGAAGCCCAGCAGCCAGTTTGAGAGTAAGAAACGTTGGAAGACTTCAGGCAAAACGAAAAAGGCTGGTGTGAGCCAGAGGTAAGGGCCAAGGGTCGGCAGGCGGCAAGGGACCGAAAAGCAGAAAAGCCATTTGCACTGGAGCTGCGCTCTGCCCAGCCGTGAAGAAGGAAGGTTGTGGTTTCATGGCAGAGGAGACGCCTTCATGCTTATGGTCCCTGGGCAGAAACCCCTGCACGCCTGGGTGGTGCTTGGGATATCTGTACGTTCAGGAGCATGATTCGGAAATCCACGAGGAGGGGAATCGGGGTGTTGCCGGGGCAAGAAACAGGGCATTCGTGCGCAAGCCTCTAAACGCATCTCAGACGGGACCGTCCCGGACTTGGGACAAGCATGCTCAAGTCTACTCCAGCTAAAACAGAGTTGAAATTCCAATTCATCCCATCAGGTTGGCACCAGATATAGCATGCCGGTGGACATGTGGTCCGCAGGCAGGTGGGTCAAGCTGCAGCGCAAATTTGCAATTAGGCAGCTGCTGCAGCAGCTGCGCGGCTGTAGATGAATTTGAATTGATTCGTGATGGGAGGTGTGCTCATCTACATGATGCTTTCAGCAGCTCCACCTTTCTACGCAACTACAGATTCGGAGGCGCATTTGCTACATTCGGCCATGCATGAACAATCGCTGCCGCACCTGGAATGTGGGCAGACAGCAGTGTGTAGCAACACATAGCTGCACATTTTCGACTGCAAGCGCGTTTCTTCGAGGTCTTGCGCAAAGTGCGCACTGGCAGCTACAATCTCTCGGGTGAGCCGTGGGACAGCCTTCCAGCTCCTCCCAAGGCAGGAAGTTGCGCACCATGTGGGATTACCTGGCGCTGTTTTGCGTTTTTGCGCGTGCAATGATGCATGCACTGCACTGAAGTTATGCTCATAGAGACTGTCATGAGTGCGCGTGCTTATGCACCTGGGGGTAGACATTCGCATCTGGCAGAACCTGATCGTGTCGCTCATGACGGTTGACCCGAAGTTGAGACCTACAGCTGATCAGGTGGGCAACTCGTCAGACGCTAAAAGCACTTTGGCTATCACGTGATATGGATCAGAGCTACATTGACAGCTACATCTCCGGGAAGAGTTGTGGGCATTGATCAGAAAAAGCCGGCCTGAACGGCAAAGACAGCTCGTTTGAGCCGTTCGACAAAGTCTAGCAGGACAATGTGCAGCTAGGAGCCAGATACGGATGGGGATAGCAGCATGTCCATTTCTTGTTTGCTGCTCTGCAGGCCTTGAACTGCGACTGGCTCAAATGAGGTCCGGCGCACATTTTGTCTAAGCAGCAGGGCCTAGAAAGCCTCTGTGCACAGTTAGAGCGAATTGCAAGTTACGATTGCACTGAAAGAAGTCGACAGGAATGGCCAGCTGCTTCAAGAAAAACATATGTTGTGTTCTTGGCAATGATGCTGGACATGAAGGATATCACTTCTTCGTGCAGTTGGTTTAGATGAGCTTCTGAGATGAAATCATTGCTGGTGCCCGCGGTCCCTGCCGACCAGAAGTTACTGAACTTGCATGGTAGTTGAGTGCTGGTTGGCTTTGTAAGCAATTGGTGCAGTGACTTGAATTCCCAAAAACACTGGTGTTGTGCCTGCGACCAATGTCATTGCAAAAGCGGTACTTCTCGCAAAGCCACAAACGCAGCTGGACTTCTCCATCATGCATCGAGCCAACTATGCTGAGGATACTTGATCTCGGCAATGTCCTTGGGATACACAGGGCGTCGCTTCCAGGGAAGGAAAGCGAAAAAGGCATCATGCCACTTTCCTGCCATGTTTTGGCATCCTGGAATGAGCCGCTCGCACGAGGGCACCAATTTCCCGGAGCAGCTGGTAAACGCATAAACCAACACTGCATATGTAAAGATACCAACGCCGGCATGTTCAGGTTTTTTCCTGTTTTGAGTGCACCTTATCTTCAACAAGGCCATTGCGCGGGTTTCATTTAGTGCGCCAATCTGCAGGGCTATGCTCTTAAATTGCGGCCAGAAAAGATGCTTGAACAGGGAAAAAGGCGGCTATAGGCCTCGTATGGACTCCCTATATGGTGTACCATGTTAGTTTTAGGGACGGTCTGTTGAAGAATGTTGAAAACATATTGGAGACCGGCGCCTGGCCTTTGCACAAATTCGTGGTGGTTTGCAGCTGGATGCATTGGATGCTTCGATGGCCGCTTAGAGCCATAACCATGATGGGCAAGCATGCGTAGCTGCATAGCCGGAACCATCTGCTGTCATTCGACAGAAAGAACTACATGATCTTAGAAAATCATATTATTGAAAATATTCAATAATGTTCATATTTTATTATTTGTAGATTGATAATTATGTATTCTGTAAAGATGTTTCATTTCAGAATTCTTTGGAAAAGATGATTGAAATACAGAAAAGAGATTGGATAACTTTCGGATTATACTGCCAGTACCGCCGAGATAGCAGACCCTAAAAAATATTGAAAAATATTATGCCTTACGTTCTCAGGCAGATCCTGAGTACCAAGCCCATTGAGAATTATCCGGGCAAAAAAAGGAATTTGAGTAGAAACCAGCAGGTTTGACATATCGATTTAGTTGTTCTAGTTTCATTCTTTCATGGTAGCACATGGTAACGAGAAAATGGAAAATCTGTAATTAGTCTGCCTACTTCTAAAGGATATGAAAACTATAAGCTAATCCTAACGGGCTGGAGATTTTCTTTAATGAGAAATTTGAATACTAGCTGGATAATCTGAGGGGATGAATATATGAGAATAGAAGTAAATAAGATTCAAGATTTGGGAGGGAGGAGAAAGATTCGTGAATATTTCTAGGAAGGCCAAGACAAAGGGAGGAATGGAATTTCTTGTATTATAGCCTTCAGGGGAGGGATGAATATGCGGCTAGGAGGGGCGAGATAAAATATTCGTGCGGGCGCGGTCTGCTAATATAATGGCGATTAGAAGAGGGTCGCGAATTTTGGGATGATAAATAAAGATAAGATAATCTTATCGGAAATAAGAAAAAATTGAAATAGAAAAGAAATATTAATATGAAGGCTATACGTTGATGGGAGGCAATCGATTTGTTTAGGATATATGAATTGAATTTTGAAAGAGTTTATAAAATTTGATTTGAAAGAATGATTTGAACTTATTAAAAAACTATATTTAATGATAAATTTATCATAGATATAATTTATATTAGGGATTCTTGGAAGGATATATGAAAATAATGGAAAAACTAGATTTAGGAAGAATATTATGATTAGATTTAAAAATTCTTTTTAGAAAGGATTTCGTTTTGCGAGAATTTATAGCTCATGTTATGATCTCAATAAATTAATTTTCTATTTTCTTCTTGGCTACGCTATAAGAATAAGAATAATTTTTTGATTTTGATGATACTTGCTATATAGCTATAGATACGGATTTCTGGAGTCCGGATTTTTTGAATGATATTAAAATAAGAAATCGATATTCGAATATATTTTTAAAATCTTGAAGGATTTTGATCAATTTTATTATAAAATTTCATTTTTTCAAATACGCCTAGAATGATCGTAATTTGATTTCAATTCTTCAAATATATATAGATTATTTCGAATTCATTTATTTGATTAAAATTTCTATTAGATATTTTTTGATATTGAATTTATATGATCTTAAATATAGAGTTTAATTTTTATAATGAGTAATTTGATATATGAATTGAGGCGTAATTTATTGTATTTGAGAGCTTGATTCTTAGCTGCTTAGATAATTCAAGGATAGTTTAATTCAATATAGTAATCTAAATTTTAGAATCGTAATATCAGATCTAGAAAGAAAGATTTCATATAAATTGAGATTTATTATTTTCGCAAGATTATCAATGACTCTCTCTCTGATCATCATAAATAGAATTTCCAAATTATTATTCTTCTCCTATTAGAAAGATAAATAATTTCAATTGATATGAAAGCATATTATCGAGATCTATTTATCTAATATCATATTCTATGATAAGTCTTTCTATACGATTTAATTATTCATATATTAAATAGATATGGTATACATATAATATCCCTATCTTCAAAATTCATTTTAAGAATATTTATATATTCATCATTTTTTATAGGGCAGAATATTCTCGATATTATAATTCGCGATAAAATTTAATAATTCTTCAGAGAATAGAATTAAATTTCAAATTGGAATCTAACTATCTCTTATCAGATCTGTCGTCTCAAGCCTCTACGGATAACGATAATCTATTTAAGATCTTATATCGAGGGAAGCTCGATATTTCAATTAATATTTCATTTATCTTCAATTTTTAGATGAAATAATATATCATATAGTAAATCTCAAATTTAAAATAGAAATAAAAAAAATATATTACGATCCAGAAATATCGTATCCAAGATATAGATAATAATCCGCTGCTTTTCGACCCTTCAAAAGAATAAGAATCAGAAATCGATAGCCTATTGATTTTATTCAATCGAATTTTAATGAAATATGATATCTATTATCAATTACTTATTATCCTCATATTAATAACCTCTCCCTATTAATATATAATAAATCAATAGAAAATCCAAAAGAATTAGGGATCGCCTTGATATCAGAAATTTTGGTTGCTTTTCATATGATTTTATATAAGATTTTATATATACTAATTGAATACGATTTTTATTTTAATTTTAGTTATATTTCAATAAATCTCAATTAAATCTCATTCGATATCAATTAATTTTATAAGGAATTTTAACTAAATATCAATTAATTCTAATAAGATTATAATTCGATTTTTATTGATTTTAGATAGAATTTTAATTAAAGTTCAATTGACTTCTAATAGAATTTCAAGTCGATTTTATTTGATTTTAGAAAGAATTTTAATTGAATTTCATATAATTAATTCTAACATGAATTTCATTCGATCTCAGCTAATTCTAAAAAGAAGTTCAATTAAATTTCAATAGATTCTAACGAGATTTCAATTCGAGTCTAATTAATTTAAAAAGAATTCGAATTTAATTTCAATTAACTCTAATAGAACTTTAATTCGATTTTAAAAGGCGGTCCTAGTAAATCCTTTCAATAAATATGCCCTCCTAATGATAAATAATTTCTGCTCCCTCGGATTATTTATTACTAGGAGGCAAGACGTCGTTTATTATTATAGGGAAGGAATTATCATATTTAATTAGAATAAGAAAAAATACTCGTATATAAACATTATCATTCTATTGATAAGCTCGAAGAATAGGAAGCCTTTCAAGATCTGCGAAACTAGCCACCCATATCTCCCAATATCTTCATTTCTTGCAGATAGAAGTTATGATAAACCCAACCCTTCTAAAATATGCGAAACCCATAGAACGAAATATTCAGGGGGAAGATAAAGAAGCAATAATAAGAATTTAATAATATCAAAAAAATAAATAGCCCAACGCTAAGAAATCCATTCCCAAATCTTATCGAAAAATAATAGAAACCGCAGTGAACGCATAAATCATAATTACGAAATCAATTACCTATATTTGAGGATCTAGAGAATATATATCCAATAAGAATTCAGCTCAAAATTTTATATTTTTCATTGAAGCATAGATTTAACCTGCGGAAAGACTAATTCAAGCTGGGGGGCTCATTTTTTAGGGGCTTCAACTTAGGATTCCGGGGCTTTGGGGAGTTAGGTAAGAAATCCTGGTCTTTCGATATCCCTGAGCTCAGCCGCGCGTAAGGAAGGCGTCAGGTGCGCGTAAGGCGAAGCCTTATTCCCGTGACTTCTGCAAAGCCTCCCAGCGGACCAGACCATGACACCCCAAAACTCCCAGCGGACCAGACCGCGACACCTCCCAGGCAACCAAAAGCAATCAGTCAACACCTTCTACAACCAGTCAACATACAAGCAAATCCAGTTAAAAGCAGCTATTTCACATAACCAGGTTTTCAGTTCAGCAGATCCATGGATGAGAAACACAGGTGAGCGGCTGGAATCGAAGGTTTTTTTTGGAAACCTTTTCCCGTA